ACACACATGGCAAATCTTCACGTATGCCTTAATGTCATCTTCCATATTTGGCCAGAGGTATACCGGGACAGTAGAGTTAACATCCGTTCAACTCCTGAATGACCATCCTAGGTAGGGTCATGCACCTCTTTCATCAAGTGTTAATGCAATCCATCACCATTTGGTACCACGATCCTCCCCCTTTAAAATGAAGTAGATCATCCTCTATCCAGTACCTCCTCATTGTCGCTTCTTGATCTTGACTCATCCACTTGACGTAGAGTGAGTCATTCAAAGCACACAATCTGATTCTATCTAAGAAATCAGTCTCAAGTTTAGAAATAGAATATACAGCAACAAATACCTCTTTTCGTCTTAAGGCATCCACAACTTGGTTGTGATTTACAGAGTTATGTTCCCATATGATATCATATTCTGCCAAGAATTCTTGCCACCTTGCCTGCCTTAGACTTAGATTTTTTAGCTTCTTGAAAAATGTATTTTCCACATTATCAATGTGACAAATACATTTTTCACGACGCAGAAAAAGCTAAGTCCAAAGTAAAGGTAGCAAGAATTCTTGGCAGAATATGATTTCATATAAGAACAAAAGTAGGGAAAGCACAACCAAGTAGCAGATGCCATAAGGGGGAAAGAGGTATTTGTTGTCGTATATTCTATTTCTAAACTTGAGATTGATTTCTTAGATTGAATTAGATTTTGTGCTTTCAATGACTCACTCTATGTCAAGTGGATGAGTCAAGTTCAAGAAGGGACAATGAGGAGGTACTGGATCGAGGTGATGTTCTTCATTTTAAAGGAGGGACGATAGTGGTACTGAATGGTGGTGGACTGCTTAAGGACTTGATAAAAGAGGTGCATGACACTACTTGGGATGGTCATCTCGGAGTTTAATGGATGTTAGCTCTACTATCCAGTGTATATTTCTGGCCAAAGGTGGAAGATGACATTAAGGCATACGTGAAAACTTGCCCTATTTGTGAAGTGGATAAGACTGAACATAAGAAGGAAGCTAGTTTGTTGCATCCCTTTCCTATTCCAGAACCGTAATGGTTGTCAGTAAGTATGGACTTCATTTTGGGTTTTCATAAAGTTGATGGTATGGAATCTATAATGGCAGTAGTAGACAAATTTTTGAAATACTCAATCTTTATTGTTGTTCCTAGTTTTTGTTTTCTGAAGTTGTTGCCGAGTTATTTTATATGAATGTGGTTTCTTATTTTGGTATTCCAGCTCACATTGTGAGTGATAGAGATACTCGAATCACGGGCAAATTCTGGACAGCTTTGTTCAACATGATGGTGACTAATTTAAAATTATCTACTACGAATCATCCACCAAGAGATGGACAGACAGAAAGAGTTAATCACTTGCTAGAAGAACACTTGAGGCATTATGTGACGGTGAGCCAGCGGAATTGGGTTGCATTGCTTGACACTGCACAGTTTTCCTACAATCTTCATAAATCGTCAGCAACTGAGATGAGTCTGTTCCAAAAAAAATTGGGTAGACAGCCCATCACACCACTAGACGTTGACAAAACAAAGAACGAGGGAAAATGTCAAGCAACGTCCAGGGTTGCAATGGACATGCTTGAAATGATATTTATGGCACAAGACAACATGTGCAATGCTCAGTGGCGCATGAAGAAGTATGTTGATCAATATTGTTGCTCACTAGAGTTTAGTGTGGTGACCTAGTGTTGCTGAAACTCACACCCGAAATCTGGAAATAGATTGTGAGTAAGACTTGGCAACATGGTTGGATGCCTAAGTATGACAGCCCATTTGAAGTAATACATCGAGTGGGTGAAGGTGCTTGTAGACTGAAGTTGTTAGAAAGGTTAAAGATTGTTCCTACTTTCCATGTTAGTTTCTTGAAACCTTACTTTGTAGACGAAGATGATCCGGACAGAAACAGGTTGAAAAGGGCTCCACCATCTATTCCAACACAGTTTGATGTTGATATAGAAAGGATCCTTGATCACCGAGTTGTTGGCACTAGTAAGTAGAACACAAGACAGAGTTCTGGGTATACTGGTAAGGCAATAGTTTGGCAGATGTTGTTTGGGAGAAGGTGAAGGACTTGTGGTAGTTTGATGACTGAATCGATGACTATCTCAAAATAGTCTCGATGAGAGCATCGAGTTCAAGAAGTGGGGGTGGTTTGTTAGACCCTTCGTCTAACTAAGCAAGTGTCGGACAAGCATGGCAAGGATTTGGGCATTGGTCTTGGCATGTGCGTAGGTCAAACAGTGCATCTGTGCAGCTAAGTGTTAGTGTGCAGCAAGGTGTTCAAGATGCTTGGTGTTGGCAAGGTAGCTTGGACATGCAAAGGCAAAGACAGGTGTATGGAACCTTTGGGGCATACGTGTTGGTAGTGGCATCGTCAAGGCAAGGTAGTGTGTTGGCTTGAATAAGCAAGGCTGTGGGACTTGACGATTGAAAGACAAAGGCAATTCAAGTGCTGACACGAGTTGGCAGATTTGATGAAATAAAACTAAGTGTTGGAAGCAGGCTGAAATATTCTAAGTGTTGGGAATGGGCATTTTCAGCTAAGGCATTGAAGGAGCATGTGCAACGCACATGGACTTAATGTATTTGAATTTGAATTGTAATGTGGCTGTTTGAATATAGTTGTTGAGACTTAGTTTAAATCTGGCCATAACATGTGTTACACACATGATACATGTTATTGCTTTTATAACTGCTTGTAACTGCCTTGTGCAGATTTTTATAAGGGGTTGAGATTCGTCTAAGGTATTCAGAGAGTATTTTGTGCCTTAGAAAAATTCGTGAGGCTCTTCCTTTGTTGAGTTTTGATATTAATAAAGGTTAGGATTGTTCCTGTATGTTGCTGAGTGTTAGTTAATACTATACGTTTCCAAAATGTGAGACAATCTTCCAGACTTAATCAAATATGTGAGGGTTGTGAGGCTGAAGTTTGCAAGCTTTGTAAGTTGTGGTGCAGTGGTGTAAGGCGAAAAAATCACCCTCGTTTCGATGGAAAGCAAGTGTGTGATGCAACAAGGGAATAGTAACCTTCTCTATGGCAGTTCAAAAAGAAGATTCAGGCATACTTAGATTATGTCTCATCGAGGAAGATGAGCTCATTTGGTGGGGGAAGTTTGTTAGACCCTCAACTTGATAGTTAGAGTGGCTCAAGCTTGTTTAGGGATTTACATGATGAACCTAGTCAAGACCTAATGACTTCAGCCAAGGTTAAGTTCAAGTAAAGAAGACCTTGGCATTGGCGTGGTTAAGGCATGCAAGGAAAGACGTGGCTAAGACATTACAATGGTAGGACAAGCTAAGTCATGCGAGGAAAGACGTGGCTAAGGCATGACAAAGGTTGGGCAAGCTAAGGCAAGGCAAAACTGTGATCCTGACATGGTCGTGGCTAAACAAGTTTGAACGTTAAGTGTTGGGCAAGGGCGGTGACTCATGAAATTAGACCACAATGGCAAGCTAAGCGAGGAAAGACAAGCCCACATGGCTGGCATGTGAACCGGCACGAGATTTGGCGGCTGAAGGATGATTTTGGCACCAAAGTTGAAGGGTGCTCGCACGTGCATGGGCAGTTGGGCGGTTTTGGTAGTTTCTAGCTGTTGTGGATTAGTTAGCATTGTAGATAAGATTATTTGTTTAAAATTCAAATTTGGCCTATAAGTTAGGGTTGTCAACTGAAATACTAGGCATGTGTCTGGCATTTGACTCGGCGTTGTGGCCTATTTTAAGGCACAAGCAGACCAGTCTCATGGGAGTGTCTTTCGTCAAATTTTGTAAGGCTTAAACATTTGTGTGCTTCTTTGTGGAACGAGTTTAATATAAAGGTGGGACTTGTTCCTGTAATGTGCTTGTGTGTTCTGATTTTTTATGATTGTCTAATGTTGATCTAAAACATGAGTGAAAAGAAAAAGAGTGTTGAGTCTAAGTGGCTTAGACACAATGAATCTGGACACAAGTAGTTACAAAAGTGTAAGGGGCCTGATCCTTAAACTAGACAGATGGCATGGTGGTGGCAAAGGGTTGGCATGAATGACTTTGTCAAGGGTCTAGGTGCAGGTTGAACCAATCATGTGGGAAAGATGTTGGTGTTACTACGTTGATGACAAACAAATTGACAAGGCAGTGCCATGACATGACATTGGCTGTGGCAAGGACGTGGGTTGTGGCATGTCATGGGCTTTGGCTGACGTCGGACATGGGCAAGTTGGCATGTGTAAAATGGCATTGTCTGGTTCAGTGGGGGAAAATCAAGTTGAGCTAAATTAAAATATAATAAAAGGCAAAGCTAAGGCAGAAAGAATAAAATGAATGGCACAAGGGAAACAAAAGTTAGCATGGCCAAGGAAAACGCAGGCAAGGCAACGGCAAGGCGTTGGCAGTGTGTCGGCAGTGGCATGTGCGGCCTTGTCCAAGTTGGCTATCAAAAGAAATGGCTAGGAAAATCCTATACAGTCTATTGGCACAAAATATAGGACATGAAGCTGGAAACAAGGGGTGGAATTGGGTAGCACATGGCACATGCCAAATACATGCGGCGGTTACTTTTTGTAACTACTTGGGTCCAAATTCATTGTATCTTTGTAATAGCTTTTGTAATTTGAATTTTAAATGCCTTATCAGTTGGGGATGTCAACTGAACTTTAGCCTTGATTTTCCTTGATCATGACAAGTGTTGGACAGGTGTCGGCAAGTTGTTTATTGTAAGCCAAAGGCTGCCACATGGTCTATAAATGTGCAGCCTTGACCTTGGACGAATGAGTAGTTAAAGAGGGAAGAAATAAGTCTAGAATTTTACTAAGGACACTAAGAATAAACGCGAGGGTTTCAAGATTTTTTATGGGCAGTAATCAACTAGTGGTTGTACCTTAGTTGAAGTCGAAGTTGTGGCAGAATTGTTGTCATAATGAATGAGGGTCCTTTGTATATTTTTGAATTAATATAAAGGTTAGGTTCTCCCGTAATGTTCTATTTATTTCAGTTCTGGCATCAAAACTAATTTAAGGCCAAGCAGTAGGCGTTGTCGAAAACACAGAGACTTGACTGCAAGCAGGCACGTCTGGTAGCTGACCTTGTTGGATCCTTAGCATCCTCATGAAAGGGTTTCAGAAAACTCACATGAAATGAGGGTGAATCTTCAATTTAACATTACGTTTATACACTCTACCAAGTGTGTTAATCTAAATTTGCACTAATAAATAAAATTATCATTATTTACCAAAACATAATAATCTAGCTGAAAATATTGGCATAATACATAAATATACACTCAGATTTGCCTCTATTGGAAAGTACACACTCTAACTTTGAGAGTTCACGTCTAGACACCTCAACTGATGAGTCACTCCAACTCTCCCCTCATTATGACTCATGGACTCTCGATACTAACATGACACGTAAATTTTGAAGGTGTCTAGATGATCAGTATGTAAATTGAAATGTTCACAGGGAAGAAAAATTGAGGAACTTATTAGATACCAGATACAATGGTATCTAATAAGGTTTATGGACAATTTTTTCTTCCCCGCTTCCTTATGTCTAGTATTTAGACAAAGTGTATAAATGTGCATTCCCAAAGTTGATTCCCAAAGTTGGAGTGCTTACTTACCAGTTGAGTCCAAGTTTGAGTGTTTGTTTAAGTATTATGACGAACATTTTCTTTTCCCCACTACTACTAATTATGATTAGCATTTTAGTTTGAGGATAGTAAAGTAGCAAAACATAACTTGCCTGCATCTTGTTGAGACTTTGGTGAAGCAAATAGGCCTGGAAATGGAAAACCTGCCTCCCCTGGTATTACAATCTTTTCCAGACCAAGGTTAATTATTGACTTCTTCCCTTCAGCTAAAGTTCTGCAACCTTCTAGCCTCTTCAAAGCCAAATTGATATACAAAGTCAAATAGATGAGAAGTTTATCAGCCGAGCTTTTATAATCAAAGTTCTTGAAGAAGATATTTGCCCGAAAGAATGTGATTGCTTCATCCACGATATCTGACGTTGCATCTTCTAGAAATTATATATATGATGATGAATATCACTCTTAAAGTATGTAAGATATTGTCACCGGAAAGATGAGATGCACCAAAGCTAACCTTGTTCTGCATCAGAATCAGGTTCATTTATATGACTTTTCAGAGGTAGTAAAGGACATCCACAAGCTTTGCTAACTCCTTCCTCGTCAACAAAACTTGAATGGTAACCCTGTGATTAATAGACTAAATTATATTTTCGTATTGACAACCATGACTATAATTTGGTTTTATCCACCCCCATCAAAAGAATTGTAAGGAATTAAATCAAAGCTCATACCATGTTCTTGCACGCAACTTCCTAGCCAAAGATGGAAAACCAATCTGAAGAGATAATTATCGCGAGCATTAGTATTAGGCAGCTCGTATCAATTCAAAAGGAGAAAGAAACAATATTTAGCTTATAGGTTCACTTCATCTTGTTAAACTTTAGGAATTGATGAACACCAGTTGTCCCTTAAAATTTGTAAGATACAAGCAGATATCATTGAGATATAAGCAAGCAGTGGCGGAGCCAGAAATTTTATTACGGGTGTCCAAGAATAATGGTTTGTGGCTGTCAAAATTTAAAAAAAATATTGTGATATTTGGGGTTTGAACCCAAAACTCCTTCATTCAAATGGAGATTCATTACCACTACACCAAATGCATAACTTTTGTCAAGGGTGACCAACTTTAAATATATATTCTTTAAATGTAGAATTTGACATTAATATACAATGTAATTTTCCGACCCAGGGTGTCCACTTAAGCAAGCTATAAGCACTCAGAATCCTCAACAAAATACAAATGCTTTACATGTGGAATTCAGTTAAACTGGTCTTGGGCCTAACTCAAACCCAAAAGCTAGATTCATAAAGAGTTGGATTGTCTAGGCCTTATAAGGAGCCCATGGATTCACCGATATGGGATCCATTCCATTCATCAACACCAAATCAAATGCATTTACCAAATGTAGATTTGAGGGAATGGTTGGACCGAGAAAAACGGCAGTCTGTTCCAGATCAACGAAAAAGAAAAAAACAAACGAATTGCAAAAAAGAGTTGAATATAGATTAGTAAAACAGAATTTTATCTTCAAATAAGAAAATACAAGATCAGAGTTCCAGATTACCATTCAATTAATTTTTTGATTAAATAACACTAGCACAAATGCAAATATGATGCCCCAAGCCTATATTTAATAGTAAATATTAAAGATATGGAGATGATTAATTAGTCCTTTTGAAGGAGTCACTGTATTACAGATATATATTGATAAAGTTCCGTTTTAGCAGGATCTGGATTATGCCAATGAAGACTTGGTCTATTACAGATTTTTTCTTTTTGTTACTACTCTAATATTCTTCATCTTAAAAGTGTGTATTTCAGGGGTGTTAATTTATGCATTGCTGACATCAATTTTATTGGATCCAAGTCTTACATTTTTGGCTAATTAAAGTGAATCAATATTTAAGTCTAAAACTAAATGAATTAATTCAAATTCAATTATATTTTGGGATATATTATTAAGTTAGGTATTGATGAGTTGGTATTTTACCTACTCATTGGACTCAAATTCATGAATTATTATTGACTTGTGTTTAATGTTAATTGAAGGGGTTTTAGGCACTAGTTCTCTTGGATGCATACATTCTTTAGAAAAAACGAGTTTGATGAATTTGAAGCTGAAAATCACGGAAGCACACCGGTGAAGGAACTGGCGTCCCGCAAGAACAAACAGGCGTCTCACCGGCTAAACAGCGGCTTGAAAGGAACAAAGCTGCCTTAGAATCGGCGTTGCAATTGGCGCAATAAAATGGTTGATCGGCAATTCACTGGTCCAGCACTAATACTCCTGTGACAATTGAAATTCTAAACGAGGAGGTGATTGGCGCTCCACCATTTTATATCGGTGTTCCGCCGGTCCAACACAAGTCTGAAAACAAAAACTGAAGGGCAAAAACTTAATTATGGTAATTAGTGTTCCTTTTGGAATGTTCCGAGAATAGAATAGGAATTTGTGCAATTATGTACCATTATCATCTTTCCAATTAGGGATAGAGAGGAGAGAACTATTTTTGTGAAAAATATATACAGTATAGTGAATACCTTCTTAGCTTGTAGAGGAAGAAACCTCATATTTGTGTTGATCCAAGCTTGGAATTCAAAGTTTGTTAATTGAATTAGCTTGGAATGGAGATTTTTTATATGGGTATTGTCTATATTTCTTCTTTTATGAGTAACTAGACCCTTACCTAGGGGTATGTACTAGATAGGGGTGTAAAACCCCGAATGGATATTGATTAATCGGCTGTAATATTGATTGTATGACATGGATCTATTGTTGTCTTAAAGTTTTAATCTAAAAATAAGCAATTGCAAACATTGATGGAGCTCTCTAACACCGTTTTGGCTTGGAAAAGCAAAATAGAGTTGGGTAAGACTCAATAGTAAGGACTTGTTAAAATTACTTTATGGGTTTGAGCCAGTGATGGAATAATCCGATTAATTTCTCATTTAATGATATGAACTAGGGACAGTCTATCTACTCATTGGTGTTTTGTTTGAAAGGGTTTGGAGTACCTCAGGCACAACTTTCCACTCATTTGCAAATACAATTATGTCAAATGCAGATGTCAGACTCACAATATCTCCAATCCTGTGAACGCAGTGGTCAAATGCCCAGGCCTCCGCGAATGCGGCCCAGGCTCACGAGCACGGAGAACAAACCATGATGCACTAGTAAGGTTGCATCAGATCAACTTTAAGTCGGAACCCCGTGAACGCAAGCAAACTATGCTACCCCACCAAAATGGATATTCTAGAATCAACTGAATCGACGAAACAATCAGTGGAGGTTGTTTTGATAGAATATTGACCCAAGTCAACACTTACACAAAGCTAACAAAACAATAAAACGCCAAATGCCACAAAATCGCACTGGTCACTTTGGGATATTAACCAAAAGTTGTTCTAGATCAAACTCGACATTACGGATCTAATCGCACTAACATAATCCTCATTCGGGTGTATTTACCAAGAATATTGACCGAACTCAAACTTTTGCCAAACTTTCAGAAACTTCATGCCTAACGGCTCAAACTCACATCGAAGGCCTCGGGACCCAAACCAACCATGTCACTAATCCAAAAAGGACCTTCCAGAGTAGATGAAACTGACAAAACTCTCATATGACATCAGATCTCCGAATATTGACCAAAATCAACTGTTTCACTTAAAAATAGAAGTGTGCAAGAACCGAATCGAAAAAAGTGTTATTGGTTTATTGTTATTGGGTTAACGATTATTCAATGGTTTTATAAAAAAAAGTTATTGGGTTATCAGTTCGATATTGGCTTTTTAATATGGGTTATTGGGTTAACCGATAACCCATTAAGAATATAAGAATTTACTATTTTAATTTTTAGTCATGCATAAATATCAAACAAAAAATATTAATATAATTACTATATTAGACTATAACTATAAGGACCCTACACAATTAACACTACTTATAACTCTGGCCTCTGCATTTACCGTTTAGGTAGTATTACTTTGGTCTTTATTATTGCAATTTAGTCTGATTTGTTTGTTTCGATGTATGCCTGTATCGCGTCAAATTATTGGACAAGTCATATATTTTTTTTGAAAGAATTTTCTTATTTGTTAAACCAAAAACCGAATCGTTAAAGACCAAAAACCGATAAAACGAAAATCAATAACAAATAACTTATTAGTTTGGTTATTGGTTTAGCATATTTAAAAACCAAAAACCGATAAACCGAATTGATAATGCTTAAAATCAAACTGAACCGACCGATACACACCCCTACTTAAAAACCTCCAAAAAGGGGGAAAACTCACACAACTCACTTCCGACCACCTCAGAAAGCGTGCCACCCATCCCAACACACCATAAGTACTACAACAAAGCTGGGAAAGGGGCAACACTGTAAAATCACACAAAAACACGCAAATGACCAATAGGGTCACTACAACTAACCACTCCCAGCAAGCAAGACCATATGGCACCATGCTTTCATCACAGAATAAATGGTGAAAAATGTAAAGTATCATTGGTAAACCATTTAACACTGTTGAAAGACACAATTTTCTTGGATTATAATGGATCTGTAAAGCAATACATAAAATTGCTCCAGTAGTTCAGAATCCAGAATAGTTAAGTGATTTTTGTAGATGAAAGTCTTATGTTGAATAATTTTATTGGTATAAAATAAATCTCAATGACTTTGCTAGATAAATTTTATAGTTCAATGACCTTTTAAGATATCAACTCGTCAAAATTCTGTTTGATGTATTCCTTAATTTCTCCAAGGCTTCTGGTTTGGTGGCAATTAATAGTGAGTAAAGGTGTGTGTTTTATGAGTTTTGTGAAAGTGGATTTACCTATCAGGCACAATTAAGCACCAAAAGACAGCCATTATAAGTGCAAACCCCTTCTTCATAAGACACCAATTGGACTTCAAAGTATTTATGTTATGTCCTATTCTCAGTACAAAACTTCTAGTCTCAAATATTCACCCTACCAAAGAAATGTTGTCCAGCTTGTGTCAAAGCACATTTAAGAGACTTTTATGGACTAGAGGAGTAGACAAAGACTGAACTCATAGCTCAGGAGGTGGAGTCAATATTTTGGACCTCTTCATTTGGAATAGAGTAGCTATGTGTAAATTGTTCTGAAACCTATGCAAAAAGAAGGATAAACACTTATTAAGATTATACAGCCTGTGAAGGCATGGTAGATGGTGCGAAAAATTCTCAAAGAAACTACTTATCTGGATCAACTAGGAAAGCAGGAGCTTGACCTCATACAAATTCAGTAGTTCTCAATCAAGTGGGTGTATAATCATCTCAGAGGTGATTTTCCAAAAGCAACTTGAAGAAATCTTGTAAGTTGTATGCAACAACTATAGATGATTGTTTATCTTGTATCCTGCCGCCATACATGGCAGGTTACAAACTAATGATAGTGTCTAGATGGACAAATATAGAAGATCGATTGTGTCCTTTTGTGTGCTAGACATGATGAGACACTGGGCACTTAGGGGGCATTTGAAATAGTTTAGTATAACCATTCTGTTACCTATTAGCTTATTTTGTTAGATTATGAGGATGAACTTAATGAAAACTTATGAGTTTGAAAGTGATTTTATTGTTCACTTTCATGAATTCCTCCTAGGATTTGCAAGAGGAAACCTTCGCCTTGAGGAATCTATTGGCTTAAGTATTATCGAAATTCGAATGTATTATAGGTGAGTAGAATTTAAATACTTATTATTGCATACAATTCTTCAATGTTTATGGCTACTTTATACGTTTCCCTGCCTTTCAATTCCTTGCAATTTCATTTTAGTTGCTATCAGCAGCCCATTTCTTTTCTTCACTTATCCTCTTATGGGGATCAAGGGTGCTCTACTGTTTATTACTAGTGT